ACTAAGCAAAAAGCCTCAGCCAAACTGAGCATAAAGACCTCAACCTCAGCCAACTAGACTGAGTTTAAAAGGCCTCAGCCAGACTGAGTTTCAAAAACCTCAGCCAGACTGAGCATGAAGACCTTAGTGAGACTGAGTTCAAAAAAAGCCTCAGCTAGACTGAGCATGAAGACCTCAGCCAGACTGAGTTTGAAAAGCCTCAACTAGACTGAGCATGAAGACCTCAAACTCAACGAGACTAAGTTTAAAAAAAAATCCTCAGCTAGACTGAGCATGAAGATCTCAGCCAGATTGAGTTCAAAAAGCCTCAACCAGATTAAGCATGAAGACCTCAACCTCAACTAGACTGAGTCCAAAAAGCCTTAGCTAGACTAAAATAAAAAATAAATAAAATAAATATAAAAAAAAAAGAGCACCATGTGGGAGACCACCATGTGAAAGACCTCCACGCGGAAGACCCCCATGTGGAAAACCTCCATGAGGAAGACCGCTGAGCAGAAGACCGCCGCGAAAGACCCCCATGCGGAAGACCACCATGTAGAAGACCTCCATAAGGAAGGCCGCTGAGCAAAAGACCGTCACGCAGAAGATCACCGCGGAAGACCACCATGTGGAAGACCTCCATGAGAAAGACCGCTGAGCAGAAAACTATCGTGCGGAAGACCGCCTCGGAAGACCTCTATGTGGAAGACCATATAGGAGACCCCCATATGGAAAACCTACCTGTGGAAGACCCCATGTGGAAGACCTCCATATGGAAGACTGCCGCAGAAGACCTCCATGTGGAAGACCACGCGGGAGACCACCATGTAAAAGACCTCCATGCGGAAAACCCCCATGCAGAAGATCTCTATGAAGAAGACCGTTGAGCAGAAGACCGCCACGGAAGACCACCATGTGGAAGACCTCCATGAGGAAGACTACCGCAGAAGACCACCATGTGGAAAACCTCCATGAGGAAGACCGATCCCTACGGAAGACCGCCGCGGAAGACCAACCCCCACAGGAGACCAATCCCTATACGGAAGATAGACCACCATGCAGAAGACCTCCATATAGAAAACCTCCATGCGGAAGACCACCATACGAAAGACCATCATGTGAGAGACCATCAGCTGATCAACAGCTTGAATCCCATCAATATCAAATGAAAACTAAGTAAACTATAACTAGACATATGCTACTTTCATGGCTAAAATATTGGCAAAAGCCTCTATCGCCACTCTATTTCGGAGCTTTTCATCGCCATTGTCCAAATATTGAGACCTATTATTGCTCATGATATTATCATAATTGATCGACGAAGTACCTTCTTCAGCAAGACCCGTTTAACCCCTAGTGGACGTTGGTTCGCCATAGCCCAGCGAGCAATGAACAAAGCCGTGAAGTGCGTTGGCGCACCCACAACCAACAACCTCACACTCTAACGTATTCCTCTCTCTCTCTCTCTACACTCAAAAAAATCGCAGGCTTCCATGCCTTTCAAGTACATGGGTATGTAGATATAGAAAGAGAGAAAGTGAAACAATTTTGCCTCTCTCTCTGTCTAAATAAGTCGTTGTGATTCAAAGGGTTATCGTAGTGGGTCTCTTAAAATTTGAGAAAAAGAAGAGTTTTTATGGACTACTTGACAAAACATCAATCAAGCATACCATTCAACAAATCAATTGGTGGGGCCATGTCAATTCAATAATTCCAAACATGGAGATAAGTATTGAATTTGGAAAAAGACATGAAAACCAACCAAGCACAGCAATCAACAGTCAGAAAGCTATCGGGTCCTATGGTGATCATGACAAACAACAGTCTTGCTTGGGCTCCACCCAAGAGAAAGAAAAGGAACTAGAAGTGTTTGGTCAAGAAACTGAGAGTTTGAAAAATCAGTTGAATGAAGCGGCATTTGAGATGTCAACAAGCCAACCCAAGGAAGAGGAGATGGCTTCAAAGTTGAGCCAAATGGAACAAGAGCTGGAAGCAAGTAAAGCCAACGAAGTTGAGCTGAAGGAGAAGCTGGAAGCCATTGAAGGAGCAAAGAGGCATTGGAAAATGAAATGAAGAAACTGAGAGTGTAAACAGAGCAGTGGAGGAAAGCAGCTGATGCTGCAGCTGCAGCGCTAGCCAGGGGTGTGGAGATGAATGGGAGAAGAATATCTGAGAGGTGTGGGTCCATAGAGAAGCCCTTTGGAGCCATTTTTGAGCCACCTGTTGGGGGGTACGCGGGCTTTGTAGGTTCACTGGGTTTGGGTGATGATTCGGATGACGATTTTGGAAGTGGGAAAAGAAAAGGTGGTTCTGCTATTAGAGTGTTTAGGAACTGTGGAAGAAGAAGGGGCAAAAATGACAATCTCTCTTTGCTAATAGGACTTCGAAAATCTCTTTCATTGTTGATGTTAATGTTGTCTTTTAGTAGGGAAATGGTTGTGTTGGTTTTAAGTTGGCATTGTGTTTATATAGTTTGATCACTTTTGGCCATCTTGAGTCAAGTTGTCACGACCCGAACTTGCCCCTAAAAGTTTAGGCCATGACCGGCATGTACTTATGCCTCAAAGACAAAATTTCAAAATATTTAAATGACATCGGGGCCAAAAGCGGAAGCAAATCCAATAGTAATGTCCATTGAGCTTGTGCATACATGATAACTAAAATAATTAAAGCAATGTAAACACATTAATATAGATATATACATATATATATATATATCATGCACATATACATAAAACTTAAGTAAATACAAAATTCTAACAATACAAGATTAAAGCCTCAACACGAAGGCGCATCTTGGGTGGCTTGACTTAGCAAGTTCACAAAAGAACTCCTGAGGCTGAGCTAAGAATGGTCTCCGGATTGATCACATACATAAAAATAAAATACGGAGTGAGCAAAGCTCAATGAGTAATAATAAAGTGAAGTGAATCAAGTAAATAATCTAGATTCGAAAGAAGTATAACACAATACTCTTCCACATTTACATCATTCACAACATTATCCATAATCATATTTGCAAAATGGCCTTAGGCCCACCATATAGCAAAACGGCCTCGAGCCCACATATAACAAAACGGCATCGGGCCAAATCATATATAAAAACGGCCTCAGGGCCAATCATATATCAAAATGGCCTCGGGCCCAATCAAATATCATATTATAAATAATTCACATTTCATATCCATATTCCATATCATAGGTCTTGCAACTCATTCATTCGCATAAAACATAATTCCAGAACATCGCAACATTTACATATTAAAGTAAATATAAAACAACATGTCGTTACAATATTATTACTCACAATGGTTTAGGTGAGTAACAGTCTCTGTCTGCAAGTGACCTACACGTAGCACACATACACAAATGGATAAATAATGTATTATTTCCTTAGTTTATCTTTTTAATCTTTGGTTCGATTCGTTTACCTCTTATGCACTTCCAAATATTGTAGAGGGATCAGATAAACACATTAACAGTTTCAGAGGGTCAAAAACAGGTAACAAAAGTGGACAGAATTGCTCTCAATTCCCGCACGTGCGGAGAGATATGCCGCACGTGCGGCCCGCACGTGCCTTTATTTCAGAATGCCAAAGTTGCTTTCCCTGTTTTCCGCACGTGCGACTGTGAGCCCCGCACGTGCGGCCATGGGCCCCACAAGTGCGGTCCTGGGCTCTATTTGAGCAGTCTGAAAATCCAACAAATTCAAGCTTCCTAAACTCCATTCCAAGGTTCAATTCAAGCAAATTTCATTTCAAAACATCATATATGATCATAGTAAACATAAATCTCAAGTTCAATTAGATCACAACCCATTTATTTCGTTTCTTCATCTTTTCATAGTTTATACAACATATCTTCATATATATATATATATATATACATGAGCTCTAAGCATGCAAAGATGCAAGACTAAAATTAACAATAAGGCAATTGCTCATAATCTAAGTCAATGTAACTCAAAATATGAGAATCAACTCTTTAATTAAATGAATCCAAAGATCACATGCTCAATTTCATGGAATATACCCAACCAAGACCATAATTCATAAACCCTAAGTTCAATGAGTGTAAGGCTTCATCTTAAGACTTGATTCTAATCAATTTAAGAAAGATTAAGAGAAGTTTAATGGATTTTCACTTACTTTGAACTATATTCTTGATTCCCCCTTACAATTTCTCAAGTCTTCAAGCTTTGATTTGTGCTCTCTTCTTCTTCTCTCTTTTCTCTTCTCTTATTTCCCTCTCTTGGGTGACTCTCCAGATTTTTCCACTTCCCCAAATGAGAGAAGATGGACTTAAAAGGGCTTTTAGTACATATATATGTATATGACTAAACATGCTTGCCAACATGCCTTAGCAGATCAGACTGAATCAAATTCCAATTAAACTTCATAGATGACTTTAAAAATTATGCTGATCAAAATTATGTATTCCGTTCTGGTTTCTGAAGCCTCTAAAGCCTTCAATTTGCAGTGCAAAGTTAACCACCCAAACATACCTTAACGAATCAGATGAAATAAATTTTCAATTAAAAATGACTCTAAAAATTCTCATTAGCATATCCATGTATTTAATTTTGGTTTCTGAACTCATGAAAGTCGGCAATTTCAGTTTTAAAGTCGTATCTCAACAGATAATTTCTCAATTCAAACAAATATCATTAATTTAAAGCACATTAACCCATAATTAAATAAAGATAATTTTTGATACACATTTTGGAGTCGTTACACAAGTACTAGGTGAACAATTTTAAGCTAAAGTTAGCTCTCCAAATCTTCTAAAACGGTTGTGTTTTTTGGGTAAGGTTTAAAATGCCACTTCTGTAACGCATGGGCAATATATAGTCTTTAAAGGTATAAACGCTCTCATTTTATCTTTTGAGATTTTCTTGTTTGATTTAACTCACTTTTTTAAAAATTAAGTTCTTGTTTTTCTTGTTTTTTTTTTTTTTTTTTTTGTTTAATATTTTACTCAATTTTTTTTATTTTTTAAATTTATCTAATTTAAATACATTTAAAAAGTACAATATTTTTTATTTTATTTTTCTTAAAAGCATTCCTTGAAACAATATTACAGCAAGAAGAAATTTTGACGTAGTCATTTACAATTGCTAACTAATCATCTTCATCGCTTTCATAGTTTTGACATAGAGACATTAGTCCAGAGCTAGAAACATTTGCTTTGCGCTCCTCCTCATGTTTTGCCGGTCCATTGCTGTTGGAGGCTAATGATGGCTTCCTAACAACAGAAACTCTGACTGACGGAGACTTGAAAATGAATCTACCGTCACCTAGTGCCCGGGAATACCCTTTGTTTTCTGTCAATAACCACAGAAAAACATAAATGAATCAGTACAATAATGAAAAATACTGTCCTCCAAATTCACATAATATCAAGTCAACAGTTACATTTATACAGAGCAGACACAATTAGAGCAAAATAATATACTATTTAATTTGCATATAATTGCTTGTTTAGCCACGGCGCAGAATGAAATGGTGCATAAGCATAATAAACAAGTTTCGTCAAATTTTGTACAGATGCAATATGCTTTAGCAGACTAATTGCAATTTCTTCACATTTCTTTCATCACATTAGATTATGAAGTTAACAAATCATGAGCCCATATAGTTATCGATGTTATTTTGCACAATATTTTCAATGTGCATAGAAAATATATCGTTTAACATCCCAGACATACAAAATTAGGATTCATTACTAGAGGAAATTTTAGCAAATGCACAAAAATTCCAACACTTGCCAAGCAACACAGAATTTATAGGGTCCATTTGGCATTGTTCTCATTATTTTTGGTTTTCGATTATTCTTTTTTTTTTTTTTGGTAATGGAAAATACAAAAACAAAATTATTTGCATGTCATTTTCATTGAAGTCGAAATTTTGAGAACTCAAATAAAATAAAATAAACAATTCCTGAAAATGGCGTGTTTTCAAGAAAATTCTTATTAAACATGTTTTCAGTATCGTTTTTATTTTTTCAATTCTTTAGAACATTACCAAATGGGCCCTAAAATTTATTTGTTTGCGGAGAAAAAAAAAACCTAACCTTTTAAGAGTTCAAAAAGAAGACTTGCCATTCAAGAATGCCCATGCAGCACACACAAGAAAGGGGAAGATGAAGGGGGTTTGAAACAAAGAGCAACTAATTATTTACGTGCCCTTAAAAGTTCTAGAGAACATATAACTATAGCGGTTGCTAACTTGCTACACATGCATACTAAGGGATAACAGACAACAATCAATCAAATGGAACTTTGCAAACATTAAAAAAACAGAATCTAAGAATTATTTGGACCAACTTAACAACCTTCATTCTTGGAATTGTAACTTGTTTCCGTCAGATGATCTGTTGGCTTAGTGGGAAGTTCTTCAGAAACCTTTCTCCTCTGCACAAGAAACATAATGAACTTAGTAACAAATGCATAGAATTCATAAATATTGATTTATTCATTTTTTGTTTCAGGTACAACAGTATTTTCATTGTAAACACCAACTTTGATTTCCATGAGTGCTCCTTGAATCTGTACGATAGACCCTTACTTGGAAGCATGAAAAGAAATGTGGGTGTGGGGAGAGGAGGCAGGAGCAGAAGAAAGAGTGTTGAATCTCATATCATAGAGATGACACACGAAACTATGTGACATCATAATTTCATGATTTGTATGGTTCACTAGCCTCTCAATGTCAAAAATTGTAAAAATAGCTTTTCTGTGGTCTTTCCCTCTACTCCTAAAGAAAGCTTCCCAAAAGCCTTCAGAGTTCAAATATATTGAAGGCATTTGGAACTAGAAAATATGGTTTCCGATTGTTTAGATATGCTAGATGTTAGAAAGTGTCTTTAGGAAGCTTTGAATGAAATAAAAAATAAAGAACTGTTAACTTCTTCCTTGGTTTCATCCTAATGGATATCCTTCTAAACAACATACAACATAGGATATCATCCTACATGCATTTAGTTAATTCAGCCATTACTAAGGCAAATAGGTAAGGAGTAATTGAAAATTCACTAGTTTCCCCTGTAGGTTGTAGTAGCCACAACCCCCGTCATCCATGTTTTTTATCGCATCCTTATACCCTTTGGTCACACTCTTTTTCTCCAACACCAACAATATTAATTTTTAGGCACCCTATTGTAAACTTTTTCTAAATCTATTAAAAAAAAATATATATATATATATGTAGATCCCTCATTTTCTCAATGTACTTTTCTATTATTCTTCTTAGTCAATATATTGTTTCTTTAGTTGATCTACAAGACATAAACTCAAATTGTTTAAAGGACATTGTCGTTGTAACCCTTAAGAGATGCTCAATCCCACAATTTCATAGTATGAATCATGAACTGAATGTCTCTATAATTGTTGCAATTTTGGATATCTCATTTTTCTCCACTCATCATGTATTTTCCTAGTCATTAGAATCTTATTAACGAACTTTGTTAACCAAGACACCCCTCCTTACCTAAGCATTTTCAAGCCTCAATAAGGATACAATTTGATCCTAATGCTTACCTAATTTCATCTTCTTCGATGCAAGTTACACCTCAAACTCTCTTAGTCAACAATAAAAACTATTTTCTCTAGTCCCATCAAAGCTATCATATTCCTCTACTCTTAGATTTTCTAAATGATTTTTATTTAACAGTTTCTAAAAATAATTTTTTCACCTTTCCTTAACCTCCTCATCCTTGACTAACACCTTCAAATCCTCACTTTTATATACCTAACCTGATTAAGTGTCTCGTTTCATTTCTCTCAAATTAGGAAATTTATATATATTATTTTCTCCATCTTTACTATCTAATCTAGAATAAAGATTGGTGTAGGCTTTTAGCTTAGCATCCCTAATTATCCTTTTAACCTCCTTATGTTATTCGCCAATTTATACCACTTAAAATCTTCATCCTTTTTTATCCTTTTGTCATTTTTCAAACCATTCATTAGATACATATTGATCATACAACCAAATTATTAGTAAAGGATCATACTTTTGAATTATTGTTTGATGTTTCAGCATTGTCAGTTGAAATCTGAGATAAATCTTCATCATCATCAAGAATATCATCATCGATCCTGCGAACGACCTCTCTTGGTGCCTGAGAAAGAATTTTGACACCAAGTAAATCTCATGAGTACAAGCTACCAGAAAACAGAGGCAGCAATATAGCAAAGTAGCAGTAGTTTGACAATGATATACTCACTCCAAATAATGATTTTATGAGTGCTTCATCCTCTTCTTCCAACTTCTTTTCCTGTTGACAAAAAAATCCCATGACTTAGTAAGAACTGATGGTGATAAAATAGTATCCACATTCACATGTTTTGAGTTCCTATGCTGCCTTGACAAATTCACACTGCAGCTATGATGTGGTCAAATAGCTATACCTCTGGATGATTTGTTATGACATCAATTGGTCCAACAGTTCAAAGTATAGAAATACTGAAGCTCAAATTCCAGCAAAATTATAGTTTGCTTTTGAATTCGAGCCCCATCAAATTCTCGTCAGATCAATACAGCCAGTGCCTAGCCTTAACACTGAACAGATTTTAGGTAGGCATGCCAAACCAGCCATTTAACTAACTTATCTCAAAAGAAGAAAAAGAGACAATCAAAGACTTTAATATATATATATATATATATCTAGAACTTATTACTTGTGTTAATTTTCAGTTCAATGAGTTAAGGAGGCAACCTGAATCAAAACCTATTATGTTCAAAAGTGAGTAGAAAATTACTTGAATGCAGCCCATCCAAAAAAATGGTCAAACTACATGCTTACTTCAGGCAGTTCTGCAGGTATAAAATAGTATTGGTAGCTGAACATAAATTCAATCTCACATTAGATACTACTGCTGCCATTCACATAAATCTAGTACATCAAAAAAGTGACCAATATGGCAATTGGGCTTCATTGTTCAAGGCCTACACAAAATGCATTTACACCCAAAAGGCTGAAATAATGAACTAGCATACATGACCTTACCTTTTCCTCAGCTGAGCGCTGCAAGACCTCCAGCATTGCATCTACACTGATAGTGGCTTGTCTTGACTGAAAAAACAGAAAGAAGACTAGTTTTAGTATGCTTAAAATATAAATTCAAGTTCACATCTGAGTAAAATGAATAAAACAACAAACTTTCACACACTTGGCTAATGATCCCATATGTCAGGCAAATTAACATTTTAACCCAAAATAAGTTTACCAACCTATGAAGTTAATAAGGCCATGAATTCAGTAGCTGAATCATTAAGTTATTCTCAATACATCTAAAATCCCAGCCTTGGCCCTGCCTGACTCTATTGGGCATGAGTTGGGGTTAATCGGGGTTGGGGATTAATAAAACTAATCTGGTCAAGGTCGGAAATAGGGCATCCCCTCCCTGAACCCCCAGATTTTTTATATATCGATTATCAATATACCCTCTTAATATATGTTTATTATGTTCACTACGTATTAGTTATTTCACTAAGCAGGTACCCTCATGGACTTCACTTCATCCAGGGCAGCAAGGATGTCCATCTCTCTTTTTGAATCCAAGGTTCTATTCTCCAAGGATTTCATTGCATCGCCCATCTCTTCAGTTTCCCTTTTTTGTTTTTCCTTATCAGCTTCCTGACAAAGAGAGCAATGTACAAATTATATAAGAAGCCAAAACCAAAATCATGATTGCAACAAAATAAGGAGATCTAAAGATGAAATAGAAAGCTGTATATGGCATGCCAACTTAATACCTCATCCTCTGCACGCCAAGGTTCGAAATTCCGTGATGCACCCGACTCAACAACATAGTCTGAATTTTGCGGGTCGGTCTTTATTGTTAACTCAGCAGAGCACTTAGTGCATTTGAAATAAAACCTAAATATTTGGATCCCCAAGTAAGTCTGCAAATAGTTTTAACATTTCAGTCAGTTCACTGAACAATAGTAATACATATCTCATAAGCGAAGTCTGAAAAGGATGTATTTTACCGATCACAGAAATAAGGATAAATTGAGTGAAGATAACAATATTATAACCATAACACGGGTATCCATCTTTCAAACAGCATAATGTTGATATTTCATCCAATGCCACCTCATGCTTTTACATAGAATATGTTCAGTCAGGACATCACTTCATCAGGTTAATCCCTATGTGAAAGTAGAAAAGATAAGGTAGATGGTAAAAATCTGGCATCACAGCTTGTGTTAGTCCTCTAACCTCAATTGGAGACATCTACCATTCGTCACTAGTTAGGAAATAATAGGTGACCCACAGAAACAGGGGAAGAATAATAACTTCCAATAAAGACGAAACATAGGGAGATCCTGAATTTTTGTGCAAAAAATTTCAAGTTTTTTTGTTTTTTCCCCTTCCTAGAACAAAAATAATGACTTTCTAGTTCATATGTAAAAACAAGTTCAAAAACACAAGAAGTTATGCAGACATTTTGATCAGTTAGAAATCGTGGTAGTTATGCACAACATTCTCTTTGGATAAAAACCTACAAAATAGTTTAAGGCCTGGATAATTAGTCCTTATCTAACATCAAATTAAAAAAAAAAATTCTACGTGACTATAAACTAATTAAAATGGTTTTCCTTATCAATAATAAGCAGATTGATTTTCGATGTCAAAAACATGTATTTAAAAAACAAAGAAAAATAATCATCACAGTACCAAGTGATACCGTCTCAAAAGGTTAACAATCAACCAAATGTTAAAACAAGTAACCGGTCCCATAGAAACTAGTTTTGTAAACATCATAATTTATGGGTGGTTTGGGATGATCTAAATAAGTGCACTTTTTGACTTTTTTTGAAATATGGGTTGGGTATGAGTTGGGTTTAAAGTGATGTGTTGGAGAGGTGATGTGACTTAAATAAGATGATGTGACTTAAATAGGATAGTGACTTTTTGACTTTTTTAGATTATACCAAACAAGGCCTTAACTTAAAAATTAGAAAGATCATAAAACACATCATATCCCACTATACATTACATATGGGCAACCTATGACTAGAACGCTTGATATGCACAATCATCAGCATGGAACCAGGCCCTAAAACGTACATGAACTAACAGCTATTTTGTCAAAAAAGCACAGATAGATAACGATACAAATACACAATACACAATATGTAGAGTCTCCAATTTAGAGAATTATAAAAAATTAAAAACAAAAGTCTCAGATAGTGTAATCAAGGACTATGAAAGAGATTAACAATTAACAATTACGAATAAATAGATACACACACATATATGTATACCTCACCGATGACGTCTTCCTTGCGGGAGTTGAACTTGGTACCTTTGTAGATGTAATTGCCGCAGGTGCCACAGCGAATGCTCATGGGAAGCATCATTCGCACCTTCATCTGCTGGTTCTTCGGCTGCCTCCGCCTCGGAATCTTCGCCGGATCGAAGTCCGGCGGGTAGTATTTGTTCAACACCTTCCTTTCTCCCATCTCTCCTTACCAAAACTACTAACAACAAAAAAAAGTTGATAGATCAATAAATTTGCTACAAATTCAACTCTCACACACACAATGTTAAGTTATTGTTACTTGCAAATTGAGAGTTTATTTTTGTTAATTCTTTATTTCTTCATTAAGAATGATTGATAAAAAAAATATCTAAAAAATAGAAAAGGTAATATGCTAATCTTACATGTGAACCATGTTAACTTCTTACCTATTAGACCATATCATCATCATCCGAAACAACATTTTCATTAATTTAAGTTTAAATATTTCATATTTATCAGATATATTGAACATCTAAGTGTAGATATTTTTTTCCAAGTAATTTAAAAAAAGTGACGGAATCTTTACAATTCACGATTCGATTCAATTATCGATTTGGTACAAGGTTATTTTAACTCACAATTTGAATCCCGATTTGACAAACGTACTTTTAGAGTACACAAAGTTACCAAGAAAGTAATGTGCCACATGATAAAATGTGGTACATCCCAGGATAGGTTTTATCTATTACATAGTGGGAACTTGGAAGCTTGCTAATCTAATTTTGGAACTAGAATTAAATTAATCGTATTCCACACATTGAGTCCCTAATATATTGTTCCTTGGTCTCTTGCTCTAAAATAAGTCTATTGTATAAGAATTCGCCTTGCAACTCTTAATGTTTAACCTGGTAATTAGAAAAAAAACATGGACAAAACTTAGAAGCAATTTTCTAAAAGGGCTGCAACGTGGCAGCATCCATATTGGTTTGGCCTAACCCAACCCTGATCCCCCAATTACACACAAAGCATCCCAACCCATCCCTACCCCTGCCCCACCCTGCCTAAGCCAACCGCATTTAACAAGGTTGGGGTGGGTTGAACCGACATAGATGCAATTAAAAACACAGCTCTTATTCTTTTTATTTTCCTTTGGCATACACGCTGCTGGATTCCAATTATATTTTATTTATAGTTGATAATACCAAAGATGCATGGATAGGTACACAATATAGACACACCAACCATGAAGTTTTCGAACAAATCAATACAAAATGTGGCAAGGATACGACAACAAATAAATATATAGTTTTATTTGTATTCCTGAAAATAATAACTATTTCTTCATTTTTGTATTACAAATACAATTTTTTATAAGTACAAATATCATTAACCAAAAAGGCACCAAGGAGGTGCCAAAGGTCTCATAACCTTAAAATTTATAAAACAAAACCACCGATGTATACTTCCGAAGCTACTAAAAAGGAACTACAAAATTCAAATTTTGGCTAAAAAGATTGGTATAATCTACCCAAAAACCAATTGTACAAAATAGACAAAAATGAACTCCAAATCTTAAAGAGTGGCACCTCACCTCTTTGAAGATCCTATTATTCTACTCTCCAAATGATCCACATAATAGCCAACAACACTAAGTTTTACACATTTTCCTTCCGTTTATCCACACTAGCTTCTCACATGAGAAACACAGACACGGATATGGATGTGGATGCAAACATGGACACGGACACGGATGCGGACGCAGACACAGGACAAAGTGATTTCAAAAAAATGGAGACACAGGTACGGCAAGGACACAACGATAAAATATATTTTCATATATTTTTATTTGTTATCTAGATTAATATTACATCTACAAACAATTAATATTAACAAAAATTAACTCTAATTCTTTTTTTTTTTAATACTTTTAAATTAATTAAATAAGGGGACACTGTGTCCCCTACATGTCCCCAAAGTGTCCGCATGTCCGACGCGGATACAACACTTTTTTTTGAAGTGTCGGTGCTTCATAGCTTCTCACCAAGATTAAAGGAGACCCACCACTTCCTTTGGGAAGACCGACTCCAACCAAACCAAGAATCAAGGACCACAAAGCATTAGCCACCTCACAATGAATAAGGAGCTAACTAACCAATTATCCATCCTTCTTACACTTACACATCAAACATTAGATTTGTCGCATCTTCCTCAAATTATTAATAGTGAGAATCTTACCATGAGTTGTCGTTCAATTAAAAAAAAAAATATTAGTAGGTATTTCACGCCTCAAACACCTCTCCACAATAAAGTCCCACCACTACTACCCAACAACCTCATAAAAAGAATTGACTACAAAGCTTGCAAATTTTTCTTGGTCAGTTATAAATGGATGAAGAAGTTCAAATATGAGAGAGCTAGAGGGAGCCATTAGATCTTGCTCAACTCTCCAGTCCCATTGCTTATGGCTTTGGAGGGTTAAAACAGTTTAGACTTCTTTCCCCAAGTATAACAGTGCAGGCTTCTTTTGCTAACAATGGTTTGGGGTTGGGATTATAGGTTCAGCAATGACCTCAAGTTACAAACTATTTGGGGATACTAGAAAGTTAAATTGGACGACATTAAGTATCATAATCAGACTGTATGTTCGATAAAGTATCATTTTGTTGCTTCTCATAAAAAATGATAATAATCAGACTGTATTTTTGCAACCTGAAGGTGTTCATAGCAATGGAGAAGGATCTGAGGGATAGAGTTTGTTCTTGGAATGGGGTGGCCGATTAGCAGCCCAATTGGGATATTTTCCAAGCATGGAATCTTCCTTTGAAAATCTTGAAGAGCATTTATGGTTTTACTAGATTTTATTGTGTTCATTTTTATCTCCATTTTATTTGGCTTCGGTTCTTGCTACCCCGTTTTTTTTTAGCAATTCTTGTGTTTTGTACTCTCCACTTTTATAAGGGTTCTGACTTTGCCCATAGGGGCCTGTCGCTATTTGCTTTGTTTCTTCTTTTTCTTGGTTTATGAATCTTAAAATTACCACACAAAAAAACCCTGAAGGTGTTCACTGTGGAACAATCCCGAAGCTATGCTAGTTCAGCTCTAACATTTCTCATTGTTCAGATATGACATATATATATTTCAGCACAATCCCTAAATGCAATGGATCCCATCACCCATTATCAGCCCGATTTTGTTCAAGAGTGTGTGACCAATAAGACCATCCACAGTGGACTACCAAAGGAACTGTCATTGCCAAATTTTGACAATAGATGACAAAAGCAGTCTCCACTGGCATGCTATATTGGCTGCCAAATTATAGCAATACCAAAGCTTGTGCCAAATTTAGCACAAGCATTGGCAATGCCAAATCTGCCGGATCATCATCCCGAACTGCTTTCCTTCCTTCCTTCCCTCCTTCCCTTCTTCATCCTTTCCCAGCAAAAACTCCCCCAAACAGAAACTAATAACATATTTTTCAACAAAATTCACCAAAAACACAAACAGACTAAAAACAACAACAACAATAATCAAGCAATCTCAAACAAATCTCAACTAATCTCAAGCAATTTGAAGCAAATTTTAAGCAATTCACAATAATCAGAAAGAGGATTTTCAGAAAAATAAATACCTGGATTTCAAGATGCGTGATGAATTTCAGACGATCTCAAGCTTCGTGCGAATTCAAGGAGTCTATTTCAAGGGTTGGGGTTTCTCAGATGGATCGAAGATTGAGAGAGATCCAAAGGGTTTAGGTTTTAGAGAGAGATAAAACAGAGGGAAGAGAGAGGCAAGGAGACAGATGGAGGGATCGGCGCGAGGGTCAGGGATGATCGGGTGGATATAGAGATGGAGACAGATTGAGACAGCCCGGGAAGATAACAATTGCAATACCTGATTGGGATTTGGTTTGAGCTTTTTGTAAGCTATGCATAGCACAATCCTACTTCGACGAGGATGAGGGGTCACTGCCGTGATCCCCTCACTGCTGTTCCTGCTGTGCAGGTAAAACGGCAGCGTTTTATGAGTTATTTTCTTCTTCTTTTTTTTATTTTTTTTATTTTTGGTTTGGATAAACCGGGGGTCCTTTACTTTTTTTCTTTTTTTTCTTTTTTTTTTTCAGAATTAAACCTTAAACCCTAAAATAAAATAAAAAATAAATTTTCAGAATTAAATCCTAAACCTTAAACTTTAAACCATAAATCTTAAAATAAAAATAATAATAATAAATTTTAAAAATTAAACCTTAAATCATAAATCCTAAACCCTAAACCCTAAAATAAAAAAATAAATTAAATAAATTTCAAGAATTAAACATTAAATCCTAAACCCTAAACCCTAAAATTAAAAAAAATAAATTTTAAGAATTAAACCCTAAATCTTAAACCCTAAATAAAATTTTTTTTAAAAAAAGTATAATTTATCACGTCAAAAAATACAGTGGAAAAAAAAAAAAAAAAAAAAAAACTAAAACGACACAGCAGTGACCCCACTCCCTCCTAGAAATCACATTCCTAAAGGTTAATATTTATCCTTTTAACATCCTCCTCGCAAACTAAGTGAAATATCACAACTTTTTGGACGGCTTCCCACCAAGCATCTAAACTATTTTACTTTGTCCGCCACTAACTTAGCCGTTCAACATGCAGCATTATGCAGAGTTTGCACGACGCGCTACATGCTGACATTGCGCAGCTCTTTTCCTAGTTCAGTCAAAGTTTCACTCTCAATTTTTGTTTGACCGTCTTCCCTTGTATCTCGGTCAAAGCGTTGGCCGCCTCTAGGAAGTAGCTAGGTCCAAGAATATGGGCATTTACTAGTCCAATCAAACATCTTTGACTACCCTGACCTCTGCTCGGCCCAAACCAAGCTTAGCTTGGCCAATCACACAGTTCAAACCTTAAAGCCACTTCCAACTAGTTCGACCCAATTTGGCTATACAAATTACCCTCTCAATAACTAAAGAAGAAAATTGATTATAACTAAAAAAAAATGGCATAACTGATGGTGCATATGGTGCATCCTAGGTGTGTAGGTTAGAATTTCCTTTTTTCAAAAACAGTCTGTGGATGAGTTTTTCTTTATTTTTAGTAAAAAAAATTGGGGGATTGACCAATAATAAATCTTATATTTTGAATTTGTGAGTCATGTAGTTTTTTTTTTTTTTTTTAGATCCAATTAATCCTTTTGGATATGTAATTACTTATTTGGCCATCATATTGGAATGTTGCGTTTGAAAAAAGTATAATAGGAAATTTTTTTAGTGTGTTATATCATACCCATCACATTGTATGTCATATCATACCCGCTACGTTGGAGTTTCACATTTGGGAAAAGTATACTAAGGAGTTATTTGATGTGTCACATCATATCCGTCACTAGGGGTGTGTGCGGTGCAATTCAAGCAATTTGAGAGTAAAATTATAAAGCAAATGGCGGTTTGGCAGTTTGGCAAATTGTGGTTTGGGTGGTGTGAAGCTGACTAGCAGATTGAAAAATATTCTTAACAAATTATCAAGCATTTACATAATATATAATACTAATTTGCATAATATTTTTCATATATAACACAAACTAATTTTACATTATATTTTTCATACATATAACTACTAATTTGTAACAAATTTCTTATCTTAAACCTCTCTCACACTCATTTTTATTTTGATATTTCATTACAGGTTAAAAAATATATATGTATTAACTATAGTAGAGCGAAGTGGTTTTGAAAACGGATTATAAATTTTAAAATTCAAACCGCATCGGTGCAGTTTTAACGGATTGGGCAGTATTTTGCACAATCCTACCCGCCACATTAGAGTATCACATTTGAAAAAAGTATATTAAGGAGTTATTTAGTGTGTCACATTATATTACATTGGAGTGTCACATTTGAAAAAAAATTACTAAATTTTTTTTTAGTGTGTCGTATCATGCTTGTCATATTAGAGTGTCACATCATATGTGTCATATTAATAAAAGGGTATAGTCATCCATAAAAAAACTACCAAAACCAAAAACAGAATCACACAAAAAGAAATTCTTTATTGATAGGACTTAACAGATCAACAAAAAAAAACTTTGAACTAATTGAAGTATTTGTTTGTGAGATGGGATTTATTGGTAAATATTTATATTTTAATCAATTTTTTATATTCTTTTGATGTACTTAATCAAGATGAATTTAAAAAATAAAATAAATGGATTAAAGTATTAAAATAATAATAAAAAATGATGAAAATTTCAACACAAATGTGGTCATTTTTGTTCGAGTTTTTATTATTTTTAATAAAAAATTCATATTTTAGTTATACTTTTTTACTTTTTAGATGTTTCTAGTTTTTATGTATGTATAAAATATAAAAATTGATTAAAATATTAAAAAAAATTAATAAAAATAAACAAAAATCCGTTTAAAATTAATTTCTGAAAATTATAAACCATTCAAAATCAAAGAAATAACTTGTTACGGTTCGTGATGAACTAATGGATCAAAAACTTTATCCATTTATTTTTCAAAATCATTTTGCTTTTAAATTTTGGTTCATCTAAACTGATTGAGTAATGTTATATAAATAAAAAAAAAATTGAGTAATCAGGTGAAAAATCCAATTCTGTATTTTCTATGCTCGAAAGTCCCCTCGTTATTTTAGCATGTCCACGAGGACAAGCCTTTGTGAAATGACAAAAATACCACGTATATATATATATACATGGTTCTCATTTCAAAACCCTAACCAAACTATTTTCTCTCTCATTTCTTCCTCTCTCCCGACAGCTCTCTCTCTCTCTCCTTCCTCCTATGACGGCGAGCTCTCTCTCTAACTCTCACTCATCGTCGTTGCCACTTCCACTGCCAACCACCACCACAGCTACTAAACATGGCCACCACTATAGAAATACTTGCAATCCATGAAACCAGTAGAGAATGTATTTGACTGAGATCTATGATTCAACATATTAGGGAAAAGTGTGGAATGTCTGCAATCAAAGAAATCCTGACAATATTATTTGAAGATATAATGTTCCATGCATTACATAGATCAAAGGAGGCTATATAAAAATAAATAAAAAAATAAAAAAAATCAAACCAAGCATATTTCTCTAAAATTCTTTTATACCTGCAAGCTTCAGTAAAGTGGAGATATTTATGTTCAGCAATAAGGTCAAGTGAAAATCTGGAAAATTTATTCACAGAGGGATTACCACTGACAACGTTCACTATGATGGTACATCTCATTGGAATGCGTCGACTCAAATATCAATTATGCAACATTGAGAGGAAGTCATTAGATTAAAGATTTTTCCTTCAACTAAGGGTTTTTTCCATAATATTAATTTGAAAGTATCCAACATCACCCCATGAAACACAAGAATATTATACTCTTTTTCCTTCACGTAATTTTTTTTAATTTTTTCCATAATGTTTTCCTTAATAAGGTTTTATGAGGCAATCTGAAACTATCCAACATCACCCCACAAAACACAAGAATATTATTCTCTTTTTTCTTCACCTAATTTTTTTTTTTCACTAAGTTTTTCCTTAGCAAGATTTTAACAATGCATATTTTTGTGTGTGGTCGTCTAAGGCAAGTGTTATGAATGCATGATTGGTTTGGTGGATGACCACCGCCTTACCGACTTGCCTCACCAATCATTATTTAATGCTAATAGCAACTTAGACACCATAGTCTTATATATTTGCAAATCCCGTCCTTGGAACTACTACTATAAATATAAGCTTTTAGTTCTGAGTTGTGATATAGATAGAAGTGAAGGGAAGAAAGAGAGATATATAAGAGATTGTAGATAAATGTATGAGTGGGTTGTTTAATAAATAATCTTGGTTAGTCCTGATGATCAATCCTTAATGTTGTGTTTTATTGGGGGATTTGGAAAGGGATTTGAAAAGAGAAATGAAAAAAGTAGGCGAAATGTGAGTAAAACATGTCTATATTTCACCTAGTTTCACACACATTTTCCTTTTCCTTTTCCAAATCCCTCCTCAAATTCCCCAACCAAACACAGCATAAAGATTTATAAAGAATAAAATATATGTTTCTAGAGAACTTATTGCTTTATTTATTTTTTATATTTTTTATTTTTATCAGCAAAGAAAATTTCATTAAAAAACAAGAAATTAAAGGTCCAAAAAGATGACTAACATGGAGAGAGATTCGAGAAAGTAAAAACTAACCCTACTACTGCTACTCGCAACTATCTAACTAACCCCTCAGCTTCACAATTTTTTTAAAACAAGAAAACAAAAAAAACCAGAAACAGAAATAAAAAAGTTAAGAAGAAACTTAACTCTAACACACCAAACCCATAACCCCCTTTCACACCAAACAGGCCAAACACCAACCACTGCTTAACAACACAACCCATGAACCCTCTTATTTCTTTATTTTTGGTGTTATGTTTTTTCTTTATTCTCTTGAACATCTCTTGTCAACAATTTTTTAGTTTTATAACAATATAGACATAATTTTATTTATTTTTATAAATAAATGGATGATTTTCATGAATAGATTTCACAGTAGTTTATGTTGTTAGCAAAAAAGTTTGTAAAACTTATATTTATTTGAACTCAGATGATAAAAAGCAAGGACGCAATGCATCTTTAATCCTTGACAGCATGGTTGTCCTCAAGCAATGGTTGAATATCTTTATACTGTAAAATTAAATCACACAGCAAAAGGTTAGATCATTGAAAATCATATTTCATGGCGATCTAAATTCCTGAGGTTGAAATCAACATATCCATCCTATCCGAGATGGTCCACCAGTGAATAAACTTGGCTGAGGTATTAACCTAATGACTCCCTTAAAAATAGAAAATAAAAAAACCTTAATTGCCCTAGCTAGATTAGCAGATAAGACAGATTAATGGTAGAAAAAAACTTTTGAAGACCAGCTCAACTGATATATTACCAACATGACAGCAATTTCACCATCAAATTACTTGCAAAATTTACCTAGTCATATCTATTCATT